CCATACTCCCTCTCTTTGGTCATGGGCCAAGTATAAAACATGCATCTGTATATGTGTGTAGATTACTGTTCCAATCCTCTCCAGTTGTTCCTCCCGGATCGTCCTCAATTCATATTGTGGGCTTTGGTGCCAAAGTAGAGGCTCATTTCCTTATGATCCATACTACTGTCATCCCTGAAGCAGGTGCAGTTTATCTTTCATCTGAAAAACAAACATTAGAACACAAGAAATGCCCACTTCCCTCTCTTCGCATGGTGCAGCCTGTCAATCAATCCAATTGGGCAAAACATAACTGCATTGACAGACGGTGTGTGACATCAGGGCAGAGGCTGTAGCCAAATACAGACTTAACAATATGTATGTTTCTAATTTTATACTCCCCTAAATGTGAATTACAAACCAAAGTTGTCCTTCAACCAACGACAGCTCACTGCGGTTGGACCGAATCATTGTCAGGACAAACAGCAGAGGGAGGGACTCCCAGTACCTTCAGCAAGGTATTCATCTCAGAGTACTTTCTCAGAGTACTTTTCTCAGAGTACTCATCCCAGAGTACTCTCACTTTTACACCTGTTCAATAAAGCTTGTTATCTTTGAATCTCTAGTACGTACACCGTATGCTGTTGACAAAAAATAATTATTCCATGATCACATTAAAACATTACAGAAAACTTTTGTTATTCCATTCTCCGTTCAGCACTCCTCGTTCACTCCACACTCACATCACACTCGCATCACACACGCATCACTCACACAGGCCGACTCCCCAGTTAGTATTTTGGTCCAGAGTTTGTTAAGGTCAACGTAGTGTACTTGACATGACGCACAAACATATAACATACACAAACATATAACATACACAAACATATAACACACACAAACATATAGACAACACAGGAGGCCTGTAATTTTAACTTTGTTATATTTTTCCATGTCCAATTACAATTGTCTCATGAGCTATTTCTATTGTTGCAACATTCAGAGCCTGCAAAACATGCAGAGCTTTAAGAGGTTTTTCCTAAAAGGATCCATTTCAAACTCTGGTGTTTACCACGTGGTCTTTGCTCGGGCTTGTCACAGACTGTGTCCCCTATATTTTTAATGAGCTCTTGTTACTTAAAAACTCATGCACGAGCAAAAAATGTTTTTCCCTTTTTTTTTTTTTTTTTTTTTTTAAAGCCAGTTCGGATTCCTTAAAAATGTAAATTAGTTTCAAACTTTAATACTTCACCTTTGTTTCACGTTCATGTGGAAAAAAGACCATTGTTTTATGTGTGTTGTTGTACTTGCACCAATCATGTCTCAGATAAACTGTCAACAGTTTTATCAAAGACATAATTGTCCTAATTGTTTCTAATTTAGCTATTTGAAAAAGAAACATGTCATAAAAGATTTCCTAAAATGTCCCTACATCCTTGTTTTCAACCAATGAACAGTGTTGCGTCAATGTGTTATCAGAAATGATCCAAAATCACCTTTAGCCAAAATTTAGAAATGCTTTAAATCATTTTTCAAACTTTAATTGTCTGAACAAACCATTTAGTACTAAATGCAGCGTCCATTAAAAGCTGCAGTTCTCTTTCTAGCACCAGTTTCAACTGTGCATGTGATTGTTCTTAAATGATTAACAAGCCACGGTTCAGAGGTTGAAAACACTGCTTTAAATATCCGTATTACCAAGATCATGCAGTTAAAATCAATAATTCTAAACTTCTCCGCGTCTATAACTTTAAATAATAATACTAGTTTCAATAATAGAGCTCCTCTACTTTAAATATACTGCTGTTCTAATCTCCTTGTGTCTCATGCTAAAGCAAGAGTCTAATTAATTTTAACGATTGTCCTGTATTCTTTCATGCAGCTAAATGTGGTGTTATGAACGAATGACCTAAATGTGTAAATATGACTTAATATGTCTCTGTGCGTTTGTTGCCTGTCTGTATATTTACCTTCTGTGTGTCTCATTTAGGCCAGCCACGTCTCAAATGTCCGTTAATGTCTTTCTTTTACTCATGGCGTCTTTCAATGTCTTTTGTCTCAAAGTGTCCAATGTCTTTGCCTCAATGCCTTTTTTCTTCTTCTTTAAATCACTTTCTTCTCCTTGCAATGTCTTTTTCTTTTCAATCATTTTTTGACGCACACCAGTGTGTGTCCTTCTTCTTCTTGTTAGGTTTACACAACGTTCTTCTCCGTGCACATAACTCCACTCGGTTTGTGCAAAAGTCTGGTTTTTCTCCATGAAATGGAGACCGGAGAGGTCTTCTTCGAGAGTTCCTGTTAGCTGCTGCAGCCGATGCTGCTGTCTTTGGTGCCCCCTGTGGGTCTGGGGGAGACGCAGATGGTCCGTGCTGATGGCGCCCGATTGTGGTTTGTGGCAGAGACGATTTTTGGCCAAATGAAACAGACAGAAGTTTTCTCGGAAAAAACAGACAAACAAGAAGCACAAACAAGTGTATTAATTACCATACGAAACCAATGATTAATTACAATTCAAAATAAACCTATGAAATAATTAATATTAACATTTTAAACATTAAATTCTGAAAACCAATTCTGCATTCAACTGCTCTCCTGAGCCCTATTTTTCCAAAAGCATAATGCTCTCTAAGATCATTCTAACTTTTATATCACCAAAATGTAGGGAAAAAAACTTGTCCAGATAAAAAATAAAAAATAAAATAATGCCTCTTTATAATCTAACTCAAAGTTCTGTGATCCTATGACTCCATGTCAGTAACATTATCGAGTGTATAAATGTAATTTTCTACAAGAAAAATTCTTTCTTCACGAGAGAGAGAAAGACAGAGAGAGAGAGAGAGAGAGAGAGAGAGAGAGAGAGAGAGAGAGAGAGAGAGAGAGAGAGAGCGAGAGAGAGAGAGAGAGAGAGAGAAGACAGAACGAGGGAGGGGAGGGGCTTCTCGAACAAAGGAACACATGGATGATTGAAATACACCCCTTCTTTGCTACATTTTTCTCGTTTTTATCGTGATGTGGTCTTAATCAGTGGTAAAAGTTTTTCTCACGTCAAACGACACTTTACATTTTATCCTTAAATACGTCAGTAATGGAAAACATTACAATTTGCTTACATGACCAATGCATCACTAGGTACAGACGGATCTTTTTTTTTTCGTAATACCTCTGTAACTATTGAAACATTACATCACAATACAAGAGAAAAACTCCCAGACTGATCTTTTGTCATTTCTTCACATGAAAACTCATAGTTACAGCCAAGTGGCTCCCTTTTTTCTCATTAATCAGATCATTATTATCAGAATCCACATTTTAAATACTTGGCTTTTTTCCTGTTTAAATTAATTGTACCCTTTTTTTTTTTTTTTTCCCGCCCCCCGGGGGATATGGAGTTTTTATTATCCTATCACTTCTGACCCTAAATCTGTCCCTATTTCTCTAATTCTATTCCTATTTTTTCACTAATATGCTTGTGCCTCTGCACGAAGGTGTGCCTCTTTTGCACTTCTAAACCCTGTGGACCTCTCATCCTGTATATTCTTTTTTTAGAGAGAGACCAACATCCCTCAAGGTTCAAAAACGTCGAAAAACCTGACTATTGTTCTATCGCGTCCGATAGAATCGCCCATCACGGCGGTCTTGTCCACACTGCAATCTGTCGAGCCAAAATCTCTCTCTCTTCTATTTAAAACAATGTGCAGATTTTCAAAACTGTGATCCGCTTACCTTAGAAGCGACCTTTTTGAAGAGCAGAGAGACTTTTCCAAACCCACAAATCCAGTCTCTATAACTGAGCTCATCTTGCGTCTTCTTTCTGCATCAAATCACGTCTCGGGTCACCAAATGAAGCCAATAATTCCCTTTGGCTGACGTGTCCACAATTTGATACAGAAATCAGACAAAAAGATTCTCAAAGGTTAACATCTGCATTTAATTATCTTTACAATCAGATACAGAAATCAACAAAAGAGTGCTCCTAAAACTAATATGTCCCTCTCCTGGCCCTCGGCTGATCCTTCTGTTTCTCCCCAAGCCAGAGCATATATAAAGAACAGGAAGGAGGGGAGTGTCCTATCAGCCAGCTTCCGGTCTAGGGTCCAGCCTTTTCCTCCGTCTGCCAGACTCCTGATGGAGTGAGGTTGAAAAGTGCAGAAGTCATCAGGCCAAGACTAGGGGGGTGAAATCCAAACAGGAGAATCTGTTGTCCAGTTGCTGGCACAAGAAGACACCTAAAATAAAATAAGAAGGACTGGCCTCCCACTTTATTCTATGCATTTGAACTGATTCTGTTGTAAAAGTGAATTTCATGCAGTAAACCAGTAGGAACGCACAAAACAGGCCAGAAACATCATGAATTACATTCTACATTAGCTCTCAACAACTGTGATTCTATGCATTTGAACTGATTCTGTTGTAAAAGTGAATTTCATGCAGTAAACCAGTAGAAACGCACAAAACAGGCCAGAAACATCATGAATTACATTCTGGCTCTCAACAACTGTGATTCTATGCATTTGAACTGATTCTGTTGTAAAAGTGAATTTCATGCAGTAAACCAGTAGAAACGCACAAAACAGGCCAGAAACATCATGAATTACATTCTGGCTCTCAACAACTGTGATTCTATGCATTTGAACTGATTCGGTTGTAAAAGTGATTTTCATGCAGCAAACCACTTGAAACACCTGAAACAGGCCAGAAACATAATGAATTGCATACTGGCATCCAACAACTGTGATTCTATGTATTTGAACTGATTCTGTTGTAAAAGTGATTTTCATGCAGCAAACCACTTGAAAAGCACAAAACAGGCCAGAAACATCATGAATTACATTCTAGCTCTCAACAACTGTGATTCTATGCATCACAGTGCATCAACATAATTCCTAAATTCATAATATATTATCACAAATGAAAATAAAAACCAACACAGAAAGAATACATGATAAATCATAGAATACAATAATTTCTCACCAAAATCCGTGTGCCACGTGACCCGACGCGTGACGTCACATTTGTGAGCCCTACTCTCGGCGCATAAAAACAAGGAAGACCGCGGGGTTCGGTTTGGCCAACTTTGCTGTGCTGTGCGTGTGACAAAATACTGAGATACTTTTGGACCGGTTGGAAGTACTATGGACTATAGAGTGATTGAACGCCAGCCAAGTGTGCACCCTAGACTGACGCTATGAGAGAGAAATGCAGGAGGAAACAGGTAAGTCTGTATGAGCGTGTATGAACGTATGTGTGTGCATGCGTGTGTGCGTGTGTGTGCGCGTGTTCACGCCGTGGCCTCCTCTCACCCGCGAGCTGACGGGGTTACTCCGTCACACTATTCTTCCCCTTCCCAAGGTTGCCAAGGTTGGGCAACCGAGACAGATAGTCCGCAACAACATTGGCCGTGCCCTTCCGATGACGCACAGTGAATTTAAAAGGCTGTAGGGAAAGGTACCATCGCGACAGCCTGGCGTTGTGGTCTTTCATGGTGTTGATCCAGGTGAGAGCCCGGTGATCCGTCTCAAGGATAAACTCTCGCCCTAGGAGATAGTATCGGAGACTCTCAAGGGCCCACTTGATGGCGAGACCCTCCTTTTCCACCACGGAGTACCTCGCCTCTCTTGGCAGCAACTTCCTGCTCAGGTACAGAATGGGCCTTTCTTCACCTGGATCTCCTTGGACTAGTACAGCACCCAGTCCCACGGCAGAGGCGTCCACTTGAACCACAAAGTTCTGGGTAAAATCTGGACTTCGAAGGACAGGTGAAGAGCACAGAAAGTCTTTGAGTGTCTTAAAAGCTACCTCACATTGCTCAGTCCAGTTCACCGGATTCTTTTGGTCCTTCGTGGTGAGGGTGGTAAGGGGAAAAGCAATCGTGGAAAACTGGGGAACAAAACGTCTGTACCATCCAGCAAGGCCTAAGAAAGACCGCACCTCTTTCTTGGTTCTGGGCCTTGGACAGTTCCTTATCGCCTCCACTTTGTCGACCTGGGGTCGGACTTCGCCATGGCCGAGTTGATAGCCCAGATAGCGCACCTCTTCTCGGGCCCACTTGATGGCGTAGTCGCACACGACGAGGACGTATTGATGACCTCGCCCACTCCGTGGCAGTGGACCGATTATATCCATGGCAATTCTGCGAAATGGGACAGAGACAATGGGGAGAGGTTGCAGTAGTGCCCTGTCGGATTTGCGAGGAGACCCGGTGAGCTGACATGTTGGACATGTGGTGCAGTATGCCTGGACGTCAGTATACATGCCTGGCCAAAAGAATCGTGTGCTGACCCGCAAGAATGTTTTGTGACGGCCTAAATGTCCAGCCCAGGGAAGCGTGTGTGCGAGGTGTAACACTAACTGTCTACAGCTAGCAGGGATAACCAGACGTTTGCGACCCTCATTACATGCATACAGAATTTCCTCCTCCACTACAAACTGTTCCTTGCTGGACACAGGGTTTGGACTAGCAACCACCTTATCAAACAAATGTTTTAAAGAGGTATCCTGTCTCTGTAAACAAGCAATGTCCCCTGGTACATCCCACAACCCATCAGCAATTAGCCCTTTGGTATCTGTCACAGCTAACCCTTTCTCAAAACGGCGCTGCCGCTTGGATTTACCTGGGCCCTTAGTCCCTCCCTCGCACAGACTAACATCCAAATCAGGCAGAGGTTGGAGGCCAGTAACCTGGTCTTGGGAACGCGTTACAACCGGACATGCAATATTACCAACTGAACTCGAAGTCCCCCCAAAGTCACTCCCTGTCCCTTGCAATAAGTCCATCAGCAGAGGGAAATCATTCCCGAGGATCAAGTCTTTTGGCAGGTTGTCAACTACGGCTACAGTCAGTAGATATACTTGTCCATCCAGTTCTATAGAGACGTCGGATCTCGGGTAGAGGTGACAGTCTCCATGGACACAAACAACATCCGTTTTAGCGCTATAGTCTATACTGCCCATAGGAACTAAACTTCTCTTAATCAGGGAAGTGAAACTCCCACTGTCCAGTAGTGCCATAGCTGGCTGTCCGTTAACAGTAACCAGTTTTTCAGTTTTTGTCAGCTTGGTTCCTACTAACTCAGTCTCAGGTCGAGGAGCATAGCAAGCCCCAGTTAGCTTACCCCTACGCATGGGACATACTGAAGCTTTATGTCCCGCCTGCTGGCAATAGAAACAAATCAGGGTCTTACCGGGTGCTGACTGGAAATTGGTACCTCTCACATCTTGGGTTGGTCTCGGGGGTGGTGCAGAAGGTGGTCCTGGTGGTGGTGCTGGACGTTGACTCGAACTGGGAAAGCGTGTGAATCCTCGATGCGCGTTCTGGTACTGAAGAGCTAACTTCGCTGCTGTAAGGCCGTCCTCCAAGTTGTGCTCCTTCACCCACATACGGACGTCCGGCGGAAGCACACACAGCAGTTGCTCCAAGACGATGAGCTCACCGATCGCGTCCTTGGACAGGATGTCGGGGCGAATCCAGCGACGGTAGAGTCCTCGCAGCCGATGGTAGGTCTCCGTGGGCGTCTCTCCAGCAGGAACTCCGGTGGCTCTAAAGCGCTGCCGATACGTCTCCGGGGAAATATCGAATTTGGTGAGGAGCGCCGCCTTCAGGTGAGTATAGTTATGCGCTTCCCCCTCATCCATTGCCGTGTATGCATCCAAGGCCTTCCCAGAGAGGAGTGGGACCAGCCGGCAAGCCCACTCGGTCTCTGGCCATCTCCAGGTCTTGGCAATACGTTCAAACCTGAGCAGGTAGTTTTCAATGTCCTCACTGGGTTGGAACGGTGGAATTTTTGGATCACTGAAGTGTCTCCACTCGGGTCCAGCATCCCTTTCCGCATTCCAGGAAACACCCAGCGGCCTCGCTGTCTCACGCTCATCTGGAGGTACCACGACTCTAGTGCCACCAGGGGTCGGAAGTCCAAGATGTGCGCTTCCAGTAGCCGCTTCAGTGTAGCTGCTTGGGCATTCCTCCGAAAACCGAAAATGTGTTGGAGTCTGAGGGGCCTGGGCAGCTGGGAGTGCATTCCGTAACTCTCTGAGCTCCGCCACCAGTCCTTCCTCTCTCCTCTCTTGTCCATTTAAAAAATCCTTTAATAAAGCCACCAGCTCACCAACTGGCTGAAATGACGGGGATGATGGTTCAGAGTCTCCATGTTCTCCCTCGTTCTGCCTTTCCAAAAAGTCCTCTTCAAGTTTGCGGGGCCACAGTCCTTTTCTGCGACCAGCCATATCCCACTTCTGACACCAAAAATGTCGCGGGTTCTCAAAAGAAATGCAAACAAAATGATATGGTCTGGTCAGGTTATATTTCTTTAGTGCAGATGTTTATTTTTGCTGCAGCAAGTGAGGGCAAACCCAGTAGTGACCAAAAGAATATGTACAGAGACTACCCACCAGGGCATCAGGGAGTACAGCTCTGGAGCGTTGTGCCAGCAGTGCACAGCATCCTCATCATCCAGCTTCCACACACATTGTGGCTCTGACAGCCCTGCCTTATACCCTGAAGCTCCTCCCCCCAAACCAATCAATACAAATAATAACAATTTCTCTTCAAATAGAAACATTTTTGATTATCAACATAATTCCTAAATTCATAATATATTATCACAAATGAAAATAAAAACCAACACAGAAAGAATACATGATAAATCATAGAATACAATAATTTCTCACCAAAATCCGTGTGCCACGTGACCCGACGCGTGACGTCACATTTGTGAGCCCTACTCTCGGCGCATAAAAACAAGGAAGACCGCGGGGTTCGGTTTGGCCAACTTTGCTGTGCTGTGCGTGTGACAAAATACTGAGATACTTTTGGACCGGTTGGAAGTACTATGGACTATAGAGTGATTGAACGCCAGCCAAGTGTGCACCCTAGACTGACGCTATGAGAGAGAAATGCAGGAGGAAACAGGTAAGTCTGTATGAGCGTGTATGAACGTATGTGTGTGCATGCGTGTGTGCGTGTGTGTGCGCGTGTTCACGCCGTGGCCTCCTCTCACCCGCGAGCTGACGGGGTTACTCCGTCACACTGTTGTAAAAGTGAATTTCATGCAGTAAACCACTTGAAACGCACAAAACAGGCCAGAAACATCATGAAATACATTCTGGCTCTCAACAACTGTGATTCTATGCATTTGAACTGATTCTGTTGTAAAAGTGATTTTCATGCAGCAAACCACTTGAAACACCTAAAACAGGCCAGAAACATAATGAATTGCATACTGGCTCTCAACAACTGTGATTCTATGCATTTGAACTGATTCTGTTGTAAAAGTGAATTTCATGCAGTAAACCAGTAGAAACGCACAAAACAGGCCAGAAACATCATGAATTACATTCTGGCTCTCAACAACTGTGATTCTATGCATTTGAACTGATTCTGTTGTAAAAGTGAATTTCATGCAGTAAACCAGTTGAAACGCACAAAACAGGCCAGAAACATCATGAATTACATTCTGGCTCTCAACAACTGTGATTCTATGTATTTGAACTGATTCTGTTGTAAAAGTGAATTTCATGCAGTAAACCAGTAGAAACGCACAAAACAGGCCAGAAACATCATGAATTACATTCTGGCTCTCAACAACTGTGATTCTATGTATTTGAACTGATTCTGTTGTAAAAGTGATTTTCATGCAGCAAACCACTTGAAACACCTAAAACAGGCCAGAAACATCATGAATTACATTCTAGCTCTCAACAACTGTGATTCTATGCATTTGAACTGATTCTGTTGTAAAAGTGATTTTCATGCAGTAAACCAGTAGAAACGCACAAAACAGGCCAGAAACATCATGAATTACATTCTGGCTCTCAACAACTGTGATTCTATGCATTTGAACTGATTCTGTTGTAAAAGTGAATTTCATGCAGTAAACCAGTAGAAACGCACAAAACAGGCCAGAAACATCATGAATTACATTCTACATTAGCTCTCAACAACTGTGATTCTATGCATTTGAACTGATTCTGTTGTAAAAGTGATTTTCATGCAGTAAACCACTTGAAACGCACAAAACAGGCCAGAAACATCATGAATTACATTCTGGCTCTCAACAACTGTGATTCTA